GATCAGTTCCGTTGAACTTCATCTACACATTCTTAAACCCAAACACATCAATTTTAAGGTGAACCCGTCGTGTTTTGACCTTTCGTTGAGCCGTGCAAAAAGTTCTATTCATTTGAAACCATTAAAATTGCGGTGAGTAGATGAAGGGTCAAAACACGATGGGTTCACCCCAAAATTGGTGTGTTTGGGTTTAAGAACGTGTAGATCAAGTTCAACGGAGCGGATCACAAAAAAAATTAGGGAATGATGTGATTTTAGACCGCGTCCTTAGGTGGGAATCTAAGGTGTCACCTTAGGAAAACATTTCCCTATATATATAGTATGGATGGAGGAGAGAGAGATAGAACTGAGTATACTTGGTGCCAAGTATAAAATTGGTGCTTGGTGGTGACATAAACACTTCTCATCCACACATTTAAATTTGTCCAGTTGAAAATGGTTCACACATGATTAACCATCCGCTGAATGAGTAGATGAGAACTAGCTACGTCAGGTACCAAGTATACCCATACTCCTATATAGACACACACACACATAGTATGTTACTAATTGAGGACTGATTAAAATTTCAATGATTATTAATTTCTATTCGTGTTAAATATGGATAAATTTCATAAAAGAAAATGAGTGACCAAGCAATCAAGTTTTACACAACCTTGTTCTTCTATAACAAAAAGGTTTTCGGAAGTTCATTTGAAAGATCTACCAATGGTTTTGAAATATGACTAATAATGTTAGATTATCATCCTAATGATTATGAAGAAATTTGAAGAGCCCACAAGCTTAAACGTCCATGTCAGCTAGACGAACATAAGTTTCCTCAAAACAAGTTTTGGAAAGAAACTACAGCACTTCAATCCTAAATGGTTCAAAGAGTATGGTAATGGCTAGAGTATAGTTAACCAAAAGTTACAACAATTTGTTTATATTGTTATCAAATGTAAGAGGAGCAAGAGGGTGGAGATGCTTTTGTTGGTAATGGATTTTACAAATTAGAAAGACAGAATAGAGAGATTTCAAGCACATGTTAAAAGTTCTTGTGGTGCTCATAATGTAGCTTATAAAAAATATCACACTTTACTAAGCCAAAAACAACATATTGCAGTTGCACTTTCTACGCAGTCTGATCAAGTGAAAAAGGAGTATCAAATTCACTAGGCTGAAATAGTAGATAGTATTCAATGCACTCGCTCAATGCTTTTGATAAAAGAAAACCTATTTAGTTTGCTCAATGTTACCCATCTGATTTTTATTCAGTTAAACTTGTTGAGCTTGATAATCTAACTTGAGAACTATATTATAGATGTGCATTTGGATGGAAGATTTTCAAAACATAAGGTAATTGATGATCTTCTTAAACAATTGTTCGAGACAAAAAAAATGTTGCACATCTTTTTTATTATTGTTTTGTTTTGGATCAACATATGAGACCACATAGAGAACAATTATGTGT